ATTCTATAAAAAATATTAATAATAATTTTTGGTTTCGATAAACATAGAATTCACATTCAGAAGACAATTTAAAAGAATTCGAGATTTAGAAGTCAAGCTTATATTTTTATCTAAAATTCAATGATTAATTGATATTTTATCTAAAATTAAAATCAAATTAATGTAAATTAAGAGTCAAATTAAAAATTAATCTTTTTTACTAACAACATCCCAATGGTTAAAAACGTTATAAATTAATAACTCAGTGTCAAAATGTCACTTCCAAAAGAAAAATTAGCTGACCCTATTCTCATATGTAATGGGATAAGGGGGAGGTAGAGTAATAGGCTGTGCCCCCAACGCTAGGTTGAGAGCAACTTCCGTGACAGACCTCCGACAATTATGAATTGTCCACCGTTGGACTCGATCCCATGACCACAAGGTTAAGAGCCTTGCGCTCTACCAAAAGAAGTGACCATTTTGATAGTTTATCCTATTCTTTCATTTGTTCTTTATAACTGGCACTAAGTAATTCATCTCAAGTGTAAGAAAAGCCCTAACCTAATATTTTTATATCCAATTTGAGTTATTTATTATGAAAAGAGAGGAATTTGAGTTGCAAAAAGAGATGAAATTAGTTTACCTTAATGCAGTCAACAAAAGTTTTTTCTACCAAGACAATGTCATAGACTAGGATCATGGGTAATCTTACATTTTATTAACTAACAACCAAAATCTTATATCTCAACCAAATGATCGAACAAGATGCATAACATACCTAATAATATGTTTAAGTTACCACAGTAACTAAAACTAATCAAACATGCAAGTCAATTCGATCCCACTTGATTCTCATTCAAGTATCCAATCAAACATATGAAGAGCAGACGAACAAACTTACGCTTTGCTTGTATGAAGGATGAGAAATTTGTTAATCAAATGGTTAAGATTCATAATCACTTTCTTACTTTAAATCATGACCATTTGGAATCAAATTTTCCATACTTCATACCAACCAAAGACTAAAGGGAAAAAACTCGGAATTTAAAACATAGTCAATACTAGAAGGAACAAAAGCACTAATCAGATAATACAAAGAACACATTCTATTGTCCAATTCAAAAACTGCCTGAAATGAGCAAATATCATCAATCTTCAAAAAGCAGGCAAATATTTAGCAGTTATAGCCAATTCAGAAATTTGAAGCATAGTCATACTAGAAGAAAAAAGGAAAAGCACTAAATTGGATAACAGGAACACATTTCATGGTCCAATGCAGAAAATCTACCTGACATTAACAATATCATCGATCTTCAAAATCATCCTCACACATTCGTTGCTAGTGTGATCGCACTTGTGCTAACAAGCAGTGGTTGCAACATTCTCCTCCAATGTTAGTGATCTGTCCCTTCCTCACATTGATCCCAGCATTGATCTCCCCTTGAGCATGCCGATCCTCAGCTCAGTCACAATAGCAATAGGGTTCAACCCGGCATTCTCAGCCAATGTGTAAGGAATAACTTCAAGTGCCTCAGCAAAAGACCTCACACAATATCCTTTCCATCCCATGCAACACCTAGACCAAGCACCAAGCTGCCTCGACAGCTCGGTCTCCAGAGCACCACCACCTGCAATCAGAAACCTCTTACTCACTAAACACCTAGCCACACATAAGCATCATGTAAATTCCTCTCAGCTTCGTCAATAACCAACAGATTTGAACCCCTAACCGAAACGGTTGTAGTTCTTCGCATCCCCAATTGGAACCTCCTCGACAAGATCCGCATGCCCCAACTATTCCACCCGAAAATGCTCGATATTAGCATAGGCAAGCAATTCAAAGTCTTTGGTAATAAACTCAATATCATCTCTCTCAACATCCTTAATAACCATAATCCTTGCTTTAGCCAAAAAATGCATGACAAAATGACAAATCCGTGACAGCATCCCCAAAATACTCTTTTGAATCAACAAAACATACAACCAGTGGGCTTAATCTTCTTAATCATGCCCTAATATAATTCCTTTCCTCTTTCAATATCCTATCCATTTGAGTATAATCAGAAAACTACTATACTCTGTTCGATATCAGTTTTAGGAGGGGAAATCTGAATTGAATTACCGCAATTTTTGCGTTCTCCGTTCTGGTCGGTCCTCCAGCTGCATAGCTCGCTTTCTTATCGAAAACCAAGCCATTAACCAGCTGCGTATCATCCAGTTCCCCCAAGCTTCTTCACAATCTTGATGTCTCTTAAAAATAGAGAGAAAAAAGGATACTCTGGAGAAATATTTTCAACAATAGCCTTGGCGTTAGGGTTTTTAGTTTTGACCCTCTAGATCCACTTAAAAATAAACGGTAAACTATGCATTTAGTACCTAAATGATCAATTTTGATCTGTTTTAATATCTAATTTTTAATTTTGTTTTTTAAAATCATACTTAAAGTTTAGTTTCTGTTTCATTTTAGTACCTTCATTAAAAACTTTAGTTTTCTTTTTCAGTTTAGTACCCGTTCAAAATTTAACGTTAAACTTTAAAAAAAAAAAAAGTTTAGTACTAAAACGGATAGTTTAGGTACTAAACGTATTAAGTTGTTAACGTGAAGCACTAAAATAAAATGAAAACGAAATGTAAGTATAATTTTGAAAAAAAATAAAAGTTTAGAGAGGCTTGAGTTTGAATTGGGAGACTATTCGAGATGAGCTTTTAGAGTTTGGGGATAAAACTATGGTGGATTTTTGGAATGATGCATGGCTAACCAATTTCGGTCCTTTACGTGAACTCCGAATTACACAAAGGGATAACGAGCATCTCAAATATTTTTTCCCTTTTAAGTTAAAAAGATGATCAATTTGACCAACCAATCAAATGTGTTTGCTCGATAAATCAGGAGTTCAATATCGTAACTATTTGATAACATTATTATACAAGGCTTTAAAAAAACCAAACTCCCTAGGTAGTGACAGACAAAATATAAACAACAGACCGCCAACTAATCCCTCATCTGTGTTTGGTCCAAAGTGAGGTGGCCAATTGATTAAGAGTCTAATCTTGAGGCTTCATTGCTGGAAAGAAGACTACTTCCTGAGAACAAAAGAAACAAACTGCATAGGTGAGTTCCAGGTAAGTAATATAAATAAGGTTAATGAGAGTCACCTTGGCTTTGGTGAATCTGTAGCAGCATTGCCACCCGATCAATCCCCATTCCCAGTCCAGCAGTTGGGGGCAGTCCATACTCTAATGCGGTGCAAAATGACTCGTCCAACGCCATTGCTTCGTCGTCTCCCGATTGTCGATCCTAAAATTAGTACACTATGTCACTAGTAACACATTGCTTAGGGCATAGGCTAGCTGTTAATTATTAATAGGCTTACCTGAGCTGCTCAGCAAATCTTTGGCGTTGTACTTGGGGATCATTCAATTCGGTATATGCATTGCTAGCTGCAAGCAAGATCGGACTAGTCGACGGAACACTAAGTAATAGTTAATAGCACGAACTCGTATTGCAGTTTACCTCTCTCTTGTTGACGAATAATTCGAAGCGCTCAGTGACCTGGTTTCAATCTGTGCCACTTTGCCAGAGGACTCATGATCTCAGGATGGTTGATGATAAAGTAGGATTATGCAAGTTTCTTCAAGAAAATGCCCCACAAGCTGTAATTCAAAGGTAATTTGTCAACTACGTCACTGGGTAACGAATCCATCTACTCAACAACCTCTATTAATCGATCCTTCTGCAAAAGCTAGGGAAACAATGATAACTAGGACTTCGAAAGCAATATGTGACCAATACTTTAGCCTTATAACCTATCTGATACTACAAAATACATTGTATATTTACCTGAAAGGTGGAGTAAAAATCGATCTCTATAGGTTCACTGTCGAATCCATTACCATGGTACTTAATCTTATAGCTCCTGTCAGCTCCTTCACCATACCTGAACATTGTAAAATTTGCAAAGTCATTCATTCATTATAAGTGAAATAGGGTCCAAATTTGAAATAAAGGTTACATTAAATGACATTGGAATGAACTTACCGGATAACAACTCCTCTATAAGGTTCATCAAGTCATTATAATCAGCATAAGCCATGTAAAACTCACACATTGTGAATTCTGGAAGAGAATGAGTTAGATCCGTTCCCTCATTCCTAAATACTTTGCCAATCTCATAAACACGATCGAATCCCCCGATAACCAGTTTCTTGAGATACAGTTCTAGCGAAATTCGCATAGAGCTTCATATCCAGTTCGTTGATGTGTAATGAATGGCCGAGCAGCAGCTCCTCCAGCTGTAATAGTCATCACAGGAGTTTCGACCTGAGAGAGACGATTACAATATTTAAAACAGCAGGGCAATTCGAAACGTGTTTGGGAAATGCTTTTTTTTCCCCTTTTCACCGTTTTGCACTAGCTTCATACCTCAATGAATCCGAGATTGTCTAGGAAGTTTCTGTAGAAAGATATGATTTTGGCCCTGGTCCTGAATATTTTCTGTACCTCCGGGTTTCAACATCAGGTCTAGATAACATTGTCGGTATCGAGTTTCCTGAAGTTATTATCAAGTTCATCATATAAGTAAGAATTCAAAGAATAGGGGAATTAAAGTAGAAGCAATTTCTGCAGCAGAAGACTACCTGATCTCTAAGGACGTAAGTTTCAGGATTTCTTGTTGTCCAGGGGTCCATGAATGATAAGACTGTGCTCCACGCTATTGGAGGTGATCGTGTTCCTTGGAAGCATATGCAGGCATGGGGGAGCACCATGAGTGACCATGGAAAAATACTTAATTCCCTCTTTACTCTTCCCTGTGGCATAATCAGCAGCAAAGAGATTAGAATTGAGAGAGAATTAGCAACATGTCCTACTAAATAGATGTACTAACCGGGAAACCCTCGTATTCCGACAATGTCGCCTCTTCACCCCGGAGTGATACTTAGAGAACTCGTTTACATCATGTGGGAATGCCTATCAGAATTGAGTTGAAGCATGCGGAAGTCTTATATATATTTGTAATATGTATATATGTATGTATGTACCTACCTGCATCTGCCATCACTTGAATTTTAGCTCTCCATGAAGGTCATAGAAGTATAGTTTTGAGACGATGACCGCTTGTTCAATTCTCCCTTGAAAAATTGCAAGCTTGATCATAATACACACGTAATAGATAATCATAGAATAAAACCAACCGATGTATGCAGCTTACCTGCCAAGAGATTTCAGTGTCCTCGACATGTTCACTGACGTGCAAGCTTCCGAAATTGTCGATAAACTCGGCAATCGACATCGAAACCTCGAACTTATGAGGGTAGGATTTAAACCAGATTCCTTTTGCGATGCCAAGAGTGTGTTCTGTTCCTCAGGTATTGCTGCAACCAAAGTTCATTTCGAGTATCAATCCTCCATAACCATTTCCCTTTTTTACACTTTCAAGAGATCTAGAATTAGAGAAATGGGTGATCAAACGTACCGTAGGATCCACGGCATCATCGTTTGCCATCGGTCGCCTATGATTCACTGCTGTTCTACGTGCTCAACTTCCTGTTGTGATGAATGATCCGCTGCTCTCAATTTAAAACATCCATATGTGAGTCAACTAACCAGAGGTCTTTTTTCAAATTATTTTATCATCCTTTCTTCATAAAAATATATTAATATAGAAAAGGAGGACAATAACTTTTATTTTTAATATAAAAGATATGTGGAGTCTTCCAAGTTCAGTTCTTTATTGTGTTAGGTTTTAACCAGCTACTTGGGGCTCAAGGCATGAAAAAAGTTTGTAAACTACAATGGTAGTCATTCAATTTTAGTCTTTGTATCAATTTGTTATTAAATTTTAAAAAATATCCTTCATATTCATTATTTACACGTTCATCATCCTTCTGATCTATAATTAAATTTTTTACATTCTTAAAATAAATTATTTTACAATTATTTTTAATGAGTTTAAATATATTAAACTTTAACGATGTTTGTTATTCATTATTAGATTAACTATTATTCATCTTGTATTATAATTTATTCATAAGGTGCGATTAGACTTAGTGCATCAAATAAAATGAATTTATTATAATTTTTTTGAAATTATGGATCTTTTTTATTAATAAAAATGAATTATTATTCTTAAACCTTACATTAAATACAATTTATTTATTATAAAATTATTTAGGTAGGCATTCAAGTAGTTATTCTATAATTTATTTAGAATATTATAATTACATTTTTTTATGTATAATTTAAAATACGATAATAAAGTTTTGACAAAATTTTACCAAACATTGTATTCGGCTCAATGGTTCGTTCATGTCCACCCTTGATCCAATGTCTTGGATTTATTCCCCAAATAGCATATTTCTCGTGTTGTATTCCCTTTAGTAACCTGATTGGTGGAAAATCATTTAATTAAAATATTAAAATTAATTAAAAAATTATCTAATCAAATTATGAAACATGTCACTATTAAAATATATATAATATTAAAATATGTCTCAATAATCAAGATAAATTAATAATATATAAGTATTGAGATCAAATATGTAATTATATAAATTTTGTTAACTACCACATTAATCATCCGTTAGATTTAACGGTTATATATAACCCTTTTAAATTTGAAAATGATAATCTTAACAAAAGAATTTAAGTATTTTTTCATTTAAGCTAACAAAAATATGATTAAAATTAATTTTTTCACCATAAGAAAATACATGTAACAGCAGCTAGCAGGCCCTTTTATGGCATCGTATGAGCCAGCCCTAGGCTCAGTTTTCCTCGCTTTCCTTTCATATTTCTTCTTTGTCATCCAGGAGCCGGACCCAGAGGAGAGCCGGTTAGCCACCAGCCATGACTTGGACCTTAACTACGAAATCAGTCGCACAGCAGAGTTCATATTAAGCAGGAACTTCACAAGAGTGCTTTGCAGGTACTATCTATTTTTCCGACTTGCTTTCTTATTTACCCATTTATTTGTTTTATCTGTTGAATTAAAATTGGGACTTGGATTCCAGTTCCCAGATGACTTGTTGAAACATTCGACCAGGTGGTTGCTTGTCTGGGACAAACTCGGGTCGGGTAATAAAGTCGGGTTATTATAATGGCAGACACAACGTTTGGAAGTTGTTGTATTGATGAAGGGAGCTTCCCGTATAAATGCGATTGCATACATTATGGACATACATGTCTCAGCCCGTATGTACTCTCTTTTCTTTTTCTAAATTTGTTTTTACCTGTCTTCATGGGAAGCTTAAATGTAGTAGTTTTATCAATTCTGGGTATCGTGATTTGATCTTTTCTTCTTAAGAAATATTTGGTTTTTTCCTTATACTTGTTCGAGCTTAATATAAAGTTGCTCCAACTTTTTTTTGGCATGTTGTATAGTTAGGCCATAGGTTTTGTGTTTCATCCTGAAATATTATATCTTAGTAGTTAAGTTCTTCATTTAGTGTCTTGACATGAGTTTACATGTAATGCTCTTTAATCTTTCATTAGCTTGCACGTTTTGAAGCACTCGGGTTTACGAAAAAGACCTTATATCTGGTTACATTTGATGGTTTGTTGGAGATAAGTATAAAAAATGGGTCAGCATGCCCTACAATAATGTGTCTTCCACCATATCTCAGTTGTGCTAAGATTGCAAGCCTTGTGTGATTTTGAATCGAAATTTATAGCATGAGTTATTTTGTATTTCCATTATGATTCAATGAAATTCTGCACCAACAATTTCCTAATGACATCCCATTCCCTCTATCTGAACTCTGGAAAGACTTGTATAGATATGCAATGAGTTTTAGTTGTCTAGAGTTTGAAAAAGTGATAAAGAATTTGAATCCTTGGTAAATAGGATCTTTGATGACGTGAAGCAAAACTGCAAGAGTTTAGGCCACTTCCAGGAAGAAGCTAAAGTTAATTGATGAATACTGAAATCTTAAGTCTTGCAAATATTTTTTTGAAGGTTTTGGCGTACCAAAACTTGAGAACGAGTCTAAAATTATCATAAGGAAATGATTAAGCGGCTGGTTATACTTCAACTAAATTGTGCCGGTACTTATAGCTACATCTTTTCCCACGTTAATATTATCTTGTGATTTTTCCCTGCCAGGACCTTGTGATTAAAATTACCATGATACCTGTCATTTAGTAGTCTATTACCTATTAATACTTAAGGGTGTTTTCATAATTTTTTTTTTTCATGTAAAACTTACAGTGTAATTTTGTATTGGAACGGAACTTATCCACAGGAGGTTTTGTGCTCAAATCATGGGGGGTCCAGGTGGAGTTTATCCTAAAATTTTGATTATAGTAAGACAATTTATGTTCCTTGAAAATTAGTAATAAGTATACTAGTGATTTTGCTACACGTAGCTGTTATTGAGGTTATGATGCATTTTATGGGTTTGTCATTTTGCACCCAATGGGATTTTGAACTTAGTTCACTTCTCTTTGTTTCTGTGTCTTAAGGTTTTCTCCTGTAGTAGATCGGTTTGAAGATTTGTCATTTTGGAAACGGTTCAATTTTTTTTTTTCACCTGTAGATTTTGCGCTCGTTCTTCATATATTTCTTATCAAAGATTTTTTTGTTGCAGAACCTCAACTCTTCCTGCATTTTGTGTTTTTGGAAAGGCTTCAATCAACATATCCTGCTGTGTTGAGAAGTTATCGAGTTACTTTGGGGCCAATGGCAAACCTATTGTGGTATGATAAGTAATGCCAATTTTAGGCCATTTGACATTGTGATAAAAAGATATCATAGATAATATATTTCATATGCGTCCTTATTTTTGTTGAACCTAATACTTTTTCCCACTTCTGTATTTTTAACATGTAACTCATACAGTGTCATATTTAGATAGGAAAATTATATCAAAATCTAGTTTCAGTAGAGGATGTGAGATACTTTTGGAGTTATGTATTGACTTTCCTATTCGCTTTGGACTCTCTCTCTGTGGAAAATAAAGGATATAAAATGAGTAGAGGATAAGAGAAAACTAGGAATGGATGCATAGTAAATGGTTAGGGTCGCTTCCATTGAAGATCCACTGATTGAAATCTGTTTACGGTGGTTTGGACATGTGAGGATATTCATTCTCTCTGGCTCTTGAAAGGTTTTCTGCACAATGTGTTGTCCACTTTATTTTATTTATTTACAATTATTTGTCGACATCAATTTGAGCTTAGTGGCATTAACGCTGGAAGTTGATTTTTATGCGTTATTCATAAAATTATTAGAAAAGAGAGTCATTATGGTCTTTCTCTGTTTATGTGTCCCTCATATGGTGTTTCCTTTTTCTCTTACTAATTTGTTAAAAGTCTTATTCACTACATGCGAGTAACATATGCTAATATGAGAAGGAAACATTAGCTAAATGCCAAATATTTACACAAGTGGCATTATCGTCATGGTTGATCCTTATAAATCACTTGGAAGGATCTTGTGTGAAGTGTTCAACATGTAACTTCTATGCTGATTGTCCCCCTTTCCTCAAGTCTCAGAATTCCTATATTGTTTTTGGATATTGCAGGTTCTTTATGGGTTAGAGTATGCACATGCAATATCGCAGATCAGAGGAGCATTGATGGAAGCCATACCCAAGATCAAAGTGGAACTTATTTTTTCTGATGTTTTGTGTTCCATCATTAATCCATTAGAAGATCATAGGAAATCTGATGGACTTCAAGGATGTCTAGGCATCTATTCTTCTGGCAACAGTTTAGGTGCGGCTACTGGTACTAGGTATAGCCTAGGAGGCTTGACATGGGATCTACCAGAGGGACAGAAAATGGAAGACTACTTGCTTTTATGGATCGGGCCTGACAATTCAGCTTTTTCCAATGTTGTGCTGACATTTAATGGCTGTGAGATAGGTAGACATATTGCCATGTTTATCCTAATATTTCCATCTTTGAAAAAAATCGATGCATTAATTCCTGATGTTAGACGAGTACAAAATCACGGGGCAAGGAAATTTTACTTATTTGCATCTATGGCCATGCATTAGCTTTATTTGCTATCTTTCTGCAAGTTGGTGAGTTTATATAATTCACAGTTGCATGTGTTCCTCTGTTTCTAGGAAGTTAAAGGATAGACTACCACTTTGCATGTGGCCTTTTGTTGATTTCCTTCTATCTGATTACCATGCATTGATGCTTCATATCACACTGATTATATTATTCTTTCTATATGTTACACTTTGCTCTTTTCCTTTTCCTCTTTTCTTTTTGTATGTTTTTTTTGGTTCGACAGCTACTATGGCAACATGAGCTTGATATCCTCTCTCTCCATTCTCTTGCTAGATTTTTCAGACCTTTTGAGCTAAGTGTAATAGTTAGGCATGTAAAGAGATGTGTGAATTGGGAGGCTGATAGCTTGGCTAAGTCAGGCATAGGGTAATATGGTTTGTTTATCATGTTTGTGTAGTTCGTGTTGTTTAGTAGGTCTTGGTAGATTTATGTTGTAATGCGCTGGTTATGTATGTGGTGTATTCTCTTTGAGTAATAAAATTTTGAGGTACTTTTTTCCTCCTTCCAATGTCCGGTGAGTTACTTATGTAGCTCGACGGTTATGAAGGGGGTTTTTAATGAGACCTCACATTTCTATAAAAAAAAATTAGGAAGCATTATTTCTAGTCGACCTCCCCCCCCCCCTTTTTTTCCCTCCAGTTATACTCTTGGCAAATCAGCTTCTTCTAGTGATATATGTACACATTCAACAGTTATAGAAGAATATGCTATTTTTTTTCTAAATGAAAAGCTATATGTTTATTGTTTGGCCTTTGTTTTTAGTCAGATATGATACAGCAGGGGATCAGTTACTGACGGATGTTTCGCAACAGAAGAGGATACTTAAGCGTCGGTATAACTTTCAACTTTTCATGCTTCCTCAGCTCACTATTTCTGTTACCTCTTTCCAATTTTTTCTAACTTTCTCTTTCCGAGTAAAATTCCAAAATTGTATTCTGATTAGGCCCGTCAATAGTTACATGATACAATCTATTGGCTTTCCTTATGCCCTACCAATACAGTATTGTGTTACTTGTTTTGCGCTATGTGACTGGTGTTTCTTGCTGCAGATATTATCTAGTGGAGAGAGCAAAAGATGCTAACATGGTTGGGATTTTAGTAGGAACTCTCGGTGTGGGTAAGTTTTCATGGTGGTTCCTCCCAAACTAAAAGTTACACAAGGACACTCTTCCTTGTAATATCTTATTTTTTGAATTGAATTATGGATTTCGAGTGTCTTTGTTGGGTTTTGATAGTAACCTATTCTTAATCATTTGACCATGTTTATGTGCTTTCACATATCAATCCACACATAAGCCACCCAACATGTGTAATATGTTTTGTCCACAAGTGTAATGCTTACTTTTGTTTGCATTTAGATTCTGCATAAGCCAGCTTCTGGGGGGTTTCTAGGTTGTCGGGAGGGGGATAAGTCATGGGGCATTATTTTTCTGGTTCTGTTTTTTGCAGCGTTTTCGCATGGTTTGGGGTTCTATGTTTTCTGTTTATGAGTTCCGGAGTCCTTGGTTGTATTTTGAATATCTTCTTCCCAGTTTTGTCTGAGTCGTCCTATACTTATGTCATTGTTCAGGGTGCACTCTTTTTCCTCCATTTAGGCCTAGGGAGGTTTTTTTAACGAGGCCCTTAGCAATGAGTAATTATTCCGACGAATAAGAATCTTCCTTTTCAAAAAAAAAAAGTATATATACTGTCCAAATCCATTTTAGTTTGCATTTCTCGGAGATGTCAGTAAAAACTTTTATTTTATTAAGGCTCAGCTAAGATTTATATTTTCTTGTAATTTTTTACATGCATCAAAGGAATAACATGACAACTTTTGTACAGCGGGCTACCTTCACATGATTCATCAGATGAAGGAACTAATCATGCTTGCTGGGAAAAAGGCCTACACTCTTGTCATGGGAAGACCGAACCCTGCCAAACTTGCTAACTTCCCTGAAGTAAACCTCTGAGACATGCTCTTATATTCTTTATGGTTGGAAGTCAAGGACTTCATGGTTGATAGCAAAAAAATTGCATTTTTTTTGCAGTGTGATGTTTTCGTCTATGTCTCCTGTGCACAAACTGCACTTTTGGATAGCAAAGAGTTCTTAGCACCTGTTATTACTCCATTTGAAGCCATGCTAGCTTTCAGCAGGTGCATAACCATGATATTTTATAATTTTATGTTTTATTTGTTCAAAATTGTTAATTTGTTCTGTGTTGTATATTTAGTCAATTTCCTGAAATTCCTCATGGTATGCAACTGTGATGCTCTATTGATCTTGCTGTATAGTAGTCCATTCTGTCTTCTTTTGACTTAATAAAGAGGAAAAAGTAAAGGAATTCTCGACAAAGGTTGTCTATAGGTTAGATGCTTCTTGGTACTATTTTCCGTGTATGCATACTCGAGATCTACTGAACATTAACTACTGTTTTCTTGTGGTCTAATAGATGGAGAAAATATAGATGATTTCTCCCTTTGTTACACATTTTAGTTTTTACTTGTTCGTATTCTATTAAATCAAACCGATTTGCTAAAATAGAGTAGCTTTGGGGAGAGATTGTGCCTTTGAAGTGGTATATCATATTGCATGAAAACCTTGTAGGTGAAATGCTCTGGCCACAAATACAAGTGTCTGTAGTAAGAATCTGTAGAATTCTTTTGCTTTCATTTTGGATATTTATTTTGGAAATTCCATTCTTCAGGGGAAGCCAATGGACGGGAACATACGTAATGGAATTTCGAGATTTAATTAATTCTTCTCGGTTGGAGGTAAGTAAGCGGCCTGAAGAAGCACGCTTTTCCTTCCTTACAGGTGGATATGTTGAAGATTTTGATCCCCAAGGTACATATCCCTCACTTTTGATTACATTATCGGCGGAATTCAATTTCGAGACTGTTATCTCGTAATGCTTCTGTTGTTTCCCTTTTGCATTTAAAGCAATGGCTTTTTACCTATAGAACTCTGTTATTGTTTTTATGGTAACTGTTTGATTGATGTAATCCCGCTTGGATGAGTTGTTGAGATATGCCTTTTTACAAGGTTTCACATTGGTGGCAATGTTCATTCAAAATGTAGAAGGATTTCGAACGTATTGTTTTCGGTTTGCTAGCGTGCTTTTTATGATTAGCAGCAGTTTACAGGCACAAACAGATGGTTAAATTCGGTTGTAAACTTGTAATGTTGTACAGAAAACGGAGACGAAGATAATGACGGTACTCTTGCTTTAGCTAATGCAACTGAGAAGGCTCTGCAACTGCATGACCGAGGCCCAGATTCCCTTGTCAAAGGAACAGCTAAATCTGGAGCCGAATTTTTCGTGACTCGATCTTATCATGGTCTTGAAATGCATGCCAACAGTTCATCGCCAGAGCCATATTTAATCGGAAGAAGTGGAAAAGCATCAGGCTACAAAGACGAGAAAAGTGAGCCTGGAACTTTGTAAGTTTCAGAAAGAACATAAAAGGAGATATTCGGGACCGGAGAGCCGAACAGGCTCCGAGTGTAACGATGACTTCGAACCGAGCATGGCCGGGTAGAAATGAAGAGTATATTATACTTTTTTGTGGGTTGAGTAGTAAGGAGCAAGGAGAAGCCAACCCTGAGCTTATTGCCTCTCTATCTATGTCCATTACTGTAACTTTGAAGTGATATATACATATATATTCCTATATATTATATAGGATTTATATTTAGGTTTAATCTCGAGCCAATATCTACATGCATGCAGGATTAACTGTTATACATACAAGTTTACCCTCCACTAGTTAACCTTTTAAAAATATTATTTAGGATAAATCACATTCACTGTTTTTTAGTGTATATATCGATTTCACCACTAATTTAAAAATTAATATGACTATAGTGTTGAACTTTGATTTTCGATTCAATATCAGTATTTTTATTATTAAAATTAACATAATGACGTGGATGCTAATATTGATATCGTAATGGTAGTATTGATACTTATATGAGATTATCGATGTCATGAATTTATATCTTTTTTATTTAAATTTTTATCGTAAATCAGAATCGAAACTTTATAGGTGATATTGATATCTATGGCTTTTCTTGTCAAACTATATAATTTCTTGTCAACTAAAGTTTTAAAAGTAACAAATTGGTCATTAACGTTATCGATTTATAACAAAATGACCACTCCACCATTACCTCTATTAAATTGTTGACGTGACAACATTAATAAAAGGTTAATATTTAGTTTTACCCCTAAACTATTGCTAAAACATCGAACAAGTCTTAAACAATGATTTTATATCTAATTTATCCCAAAATCTTTCTAATTTATAATTTGTTCAAACACCCCACCACTACAACTACATTCGAACCACATTCCTTGCAAAATGAAAACCATACTGCTTAGATAAATGGAGTTTTTCCATTAAATACAAATACAAGAGTACTTAAAGCCATATATTCAATTAATTTTAATTAATGCAAAAAATAATGGTTTTGAGACGATTTCTGTTTTGTAAGGAAAGTTGTTAGCATAATACTTAAAGACAAACGAGAGTTTGTTTAAGTGTGGTTTTCTTTTGTAAGGAAAGTGATTAGAACATAATTGAGATGGTAGGGTGTTTAAAACAACTGGAAATTAGAAAGCTTTGGGAATAAATTAGATATAAAACCATTGTTTAAGGACTTATTTGATGTTTGAGCAATAGTTTAGGGGTAAAATTAAATATTAAATTTTTCTTATCAATGGTTCCCTGTCATTAATTTTAACAGAGGTAAGAATGGAGTTACCATTTTGTTACAAATTGATAATATTAGTGACTAATTCGTTACTTTTGAAACTTTAGTGGGGAAAATAAAAACTTACTCAAACATTAGTGACAATCGGTGTATTTTACCCTTATAATATACATATATATTTATATTTATATTTATATTTATATTTATATTTATATTTATATTTATATTTATATTTATATTTATATTTATATTTATATTTATATTTATATTTATATTTATATTTATATTTATATTTATATTTATATTTATATTTATATTTATATTTATATTTATATTTATATTTATATTTATATTTATATTTATATTTATATTTATATTTATATTTATATTTATATTTATATGGCGTTGGTTGATGATGTAATGTACATTCGCATGGACATTGCGTTTCTCAATCAACCATCGTGAAAGTCAAACTCAACGGCCGTTCTTATGATCCCTTCCATTTTCAGCTTCATAGAAAATTCTAAAAGATGTAGCTAATTTCGTTTTTGTTTTTGGTCAAATGGGATTAATCCACTTTAATTATTTACATTTCAATCTTTGAAAGATCGCCTGATTCTCCAATTTTTATTAGTTTTACCATTATTATATCTTCTCCCATATCGATTCCTCTTCAGAAATGCATTATCAACCCTTGGTTTCAGTCCCTTCAATGTCCGTCTTCACTTTCTTCCTCTTCAGCTTATTGTTCTTCTTCCACCTCCCAATATCATACACCCAAGACGATGGAAGTTTCGAGCGGTGTTTTGAAAGTTTCAGCTGCGGGGACTTATCAAACCTAATGTTTCCATTTTGGAAGGAGGATAGCCCTGAAATCTGTCACCAACCAGACTTCGGGCTGACCAGATGCGACGAGGATCAGCCTGCCATTGATATCAATGGGGCTGGGTTCCGATTGATTTCCTTCAACGAAACCGGTTGGACGATGACAATCGCCAGAGAGGATTTGTGGGGTGGGATTTGTCCTTCGAGTCCCATCGGGAATATAAGTCTGGGATTCCCTTTCTTCCAATTCTCTCTAACAAATCGAAACCTAACTTTCTTTTACGATTGCGATTCACCAGTGGTACCGAGAGATGCAGTTCGATTTCAGTGCGACCAAAGCTCATTAATTTCTTTCTACGCCGATGATTTAGTTAGGGGAGGTTCTTATGACCAATTCAGCCGCTCTTGTCGCGGCGGCGCTGTCCGGGTTCAGATTAATCAGAGCCATTTCGAAAGACTCCAGGATGAAGGTCCGGAAAATGTTGGATTTGGGAGATGGAGATTGGGATTTGACGTGGGGTATAATCTGCCTGAAATTTTCTGTGAGAAATGCCAAAGAAACAGAAGCTCATGCGATGAACTGACTGGACCTCAATATCCAGTCTGCAGAAACCCTGGTACGCACAAATACAATCTCTTAAGACCTCCATTTTTTCATTCAATTCGATTGCTAAAATATGGTGAATTCATTAGTCTCTGCTGTATGAATAGTTCTGCGGTCTACCTTGTACAACTCAAAAACTATAGAACAATAGGGTCAAATCAAAGTATGCAGAGTGTCAGGTTCAAGCTACTCTCAATAATTTCACATTAGCATTTTTATTAATATTTTAATATTTGATGATTAATATAAAATTAAAATATAACTTTAGATGTTATTTTGAAAAAATTATTATTGAATGATCAAAATAAAAAAAAGTGATAGTTATAGTATTAAACACATAATTTACCCTTATTATTATTAAATACTCCATACTTAATGTAATTTTCAATATTGAGAGTTCAATTTTTTTTTTATAAAAGTATCTTCGTTGTAAATGAAAAAAGAAATTGATTTTAATATTAGATATTAAATTCTAATAAGAAATTAAGTTAATTTTTTTTTGTAATTTTATTGGTTAAGTTTATTTAGTTAAGAATTGTTATGAAATAAGAGATTTTGTTTACTAAGTATTTGTCTATATAAATATAGGATAAGTCTTAGCGAATTATTTTAGAATTTACTATATATTTCATTTTTTAATGTATTTTCTATTAGAAATATGTTTTCGTCCCATTAGAATTTTATAAATTTAAGTTCACCCCAAACGTAAAATTATGCATTGTATTAGAGATGAAAGTTATGTTATGATGCGTTCGAATTGGTCGTAAAATTTGATAAATAGCAGATTATGTTTTGAAATCGTGATAGAATGTCTTTTACTAATTTATGTCGGTCGAATTTGCAATCTTTTTATACTGGAAGGTGTTTAAAGGAATTAATGTATAGTTAGCTTCTAATATATTTTTAATTTAGGAACAGAATTATTGGTAATTATAACACATAAAGATGAATTAGCATTTAGCTTTAGGTAATTAGAAAGTCTTTCGAAACTTAAGCTGCCATCATTTTTAACTAGTACATAGTATTAATTTCCCTTAAAAAATACTGGAATAGTTCAAAACTGTCACATAACGTTATAGATGATACGGTCATGAACTCTTAATTGATAAAAAAAAACTATATATGGACCTTGTTTCATACATGGACGTCGTCGTCTTCCTTTCAACACCCTCTACTTCTCTCAGAAACTTGAAGACTTTCCTTTCCATGCAGGGAAGCCAATTAATGATCTACTTTTTTTTTCCTGCTTTTTATGGGCAATAACAAAAGACAAGCTTTTGGTCTTGATATGATCCAGTCATTCTGACGTTTAATTCCATGGTGGCGGGGCCACCTTGAAAACTCATTCCCGGGCTGGTTTCATCAGCAGGTTCCATAAATGTCCAACCTTTGATCCGTCAATCGTCTCTCAAAGCAGCCTTGAATGATAGCCGACTTTTTTTCTGCCTCAAATTTCTCCATTTTTCTTTTGGAAAATCAGAAACATGTGCGGTTTCCACACTTAAAATTCTTACTTGGGTTGACAAATCATAAACACATGTACGTTTCTTCCAAGGCTCAGACCCCATCATTTCCCACATCGAAAGGTGTGGCAAAAATGAACCTTTTTTCTTCCTTCCTCTGCTCAACCACCAAAACTTTTTTTTTTTTGGATAATTAAAAATTTTATTACCCAAATGAACAGTGATCTGCTACAAAACAAACATCAATGGAAATCTAAAAAATCATGAATAACCTATTCACAAAACCTTTTGTTTTGTATTGATTTGATGTATAAAGAAGTCCGCCACCTTTCAACTTATTCTACACCATTAATTTGAAAAAAGGCATAGTTTATTGGCCCATATAGTTGCCTTAAATGGATGCATTAGATCAAACAAAGCTGCACCATTGATTTGAATATAGGATGGTCAACTAAGGTAGGGAGTTGTACACTAAAAAACAATATCTTTTTCCTTTGCTTTCATTATTGTTTTGTCTTTGTTTTCCTTTTCAAACTCCAATCACAGTCATTTCAGAAACTAAAAGATCAAACGCCATCAACTCTACAAGAAAGCAATTTCCTTCAACTACTACAATTACTACTTCTTCTTCCCATTTCTGGTTTATGCCATCCCTTATTGCTTTCTCAAATGGATCCACAGAAGCTGATGAATTTTATAATGATCATATTTTTTGGTCATCTTAGCAATGGCAACTGAAGCCCTTTCGGTGGACTCGCACTTCGAGGCTTGTCTGCCTCGAAGGTGTGGTAACGGTCCTGATATAAGCTACCCTTTTTGGATTTTCAAAGAACAAGAATCGTTTTGCGGATATCCGAACTTCGAGATCACCTGCAAAGAGAAAGATCCTATACTCAAGATTTCTGAGGAAACTTACATCATCAAAGATATATTTTACAACAACAATTCACTGCTTGTTGTCAATGCTGTTGTTCACGAAGATGATTGTCCGACTCCCCAACTGAATGTTAGTCTCGATCGAACTCCGTTTAGTCTTAGTCCTGATAATGTCAATCTTTCCTTTTTATACAATTGTGAGGAGCAACCAAAGTACCATACATATCCAGTAAGTTGTGCTAGTAATGCTTCTTTCCATTCCTATGCTGTTTTCCACAAACAAGCCTTGGAGAATACTAACTATTCGATCAAGTCATGCCGGACTCTGATCGAATCCCCTGTGTACATAAACGACGATGTTAGTTTCGTTAGCTTATTAGGAATGAATTATACCAACGTCTTGAAATTGGGGTTCGTTTTGAACTGGACTGCACATAGCTGCAGCAGCTGTAAAAGAAGCGGAGGCCGATGCGGTTTCGGTTATACTGATGAATTCGTTTGCTTTTGCTCAGACGGACCTCATCCTAAGACCTGCAACGATGGTAACTTTGTAGAGCATAGATCCTAACTCTACCAAGCTTCCTTCCATTACTTCTCCATGTCTTTTTGTTGTTATTTTTCTTCATTTAGCTTCCTTAATTTTACTTGAGTGGTAAGTTATCTGTTATCTTTTATTTGCACTCTTGACTTGCAGTGACCACTAATTTCATAGGCAAGTCTAATATATAACATTATATTGAGTACCCTTAAATTTTAAACTGCTGTTAATTGACCCTTTTTCGATATATTATCATACCCAACTTCATTTTCTTTTTCTTTTTTTCTATTTCAGGTGATGATTTTAACTTGGAAAGAAAGCTGATCATAGGTAATATGATCCCCTGATCCACCTTTGTTTCATTCTTAGACAGTTTGTTGCTTCATGCATTTTTTTTTTTAACCGAAATGAAATGAAGTTTCGATGCAAAAAATACACAGGTTTCTGTGCCGGTGCTGCAGGCATACTGATCAGCTGCGTCACCTTCTATTTCTGGCGACAATGTCTCCGTGGTGAACGGTTGTTTAAATGGTCTTTCCTAACAAGCAAGAGTTCTTTGGAACGCTCTTCTGTTGTCGATTCTGAGAAGGGTAATAGCTTTGCTTGCATCCATGTATTCACCTATGAGGAACTTGAAGAAGCTACCAACAATTTTAATTCCGAAAGGGAGCTTGGTGATGGAGGCTTTGGAACTGTATATTATGGTAAGAAAAACTTTTTACTCGAACAATCAGTTTATCAATAAGTCGTCGTTTTCATTCCCGTCTTTCTTGACTAGGCAAACTTCAAGACGGTCGTGCTATCGCTGTTAAACGCTTGTATGAAAACAACTACAAGAGAGTTGAGCAATTCATGAATGAAGTTGACATCCTAACTCGGTTGCGCCATCAAAATCTCGTCTCACTTTATGGAAGTACCTCTAGGCACAGTCGGGAACTCTTGCTCGTATACGAATATGTTCCGAATGGCACGGTAGCAGACCATCTTCATGGTGAACGTGCTAAACCAGGGGCACTCTCTTGGGACATCCGGTTAGAGATAGCCATAGAGACCGCAAATGCATTGAGATATCTCCACGCTTCGGATACCATCCACCGTGATGTGAAAACCAACAACATCCTCCTGGACAACAATTTTCGCGTTAAGGTCGCGGATTTCGGTCTGTCTCGAATCTTCCCGATCCACGTTACGCATGTTACCACCGCTCCTCAAGGGACTCCCGGTTACGTCGATCCCGAATATCACCAGTGCTATCAGCTTACTAGCAAGAGCGATGTATTCAGCTTTGGGGTCGTACTGATCGAGCTAATATCATCGAAACGAGCCGTGGACATCATGAGGCACCGCCACGAGATTAACTTGTGGAACATGGCGATCAACAAGATTCAAAACGGAGCATTGCATGAGCTAGTGGATCCGTCTTTGGGGTTCGAAACGAACAACAAGGTTAGGAAAACGATAACCGGAGTGGCGGAGGTGGCGTTCCGGTGCCTGCAGAATGAGAGAGACATGAGGCCGACAATGGAACAAGTGCTGGAGACTTTAATGGGAATAAAGAATGAGGATTACAAGAAGGAAAAGGCAGAAGAAATGGATGTGTTCCCGGCAGAGGAAGAAGGTGGGTTGTTGAAGAGTAGACCGTTGCCTCCTTCTCCAAATTCTGTGGTGTTAAAATGGGTTAGCAGCGGCGGTTCTTCTACAACTACAACACCAAGTTTCTAATTGAATGGTAAATGGGATTTATGTAAATATAATCATGTATATGTAGGATAAGTGGTGAATGAAGAGGTGCTTTTTGGTACTTCAAATTCTGAGCTGATTCTTGCTTTTATTTATTTATTTTGACAGTGTCTATTGTAAATTCAAGTATAACAATGGAATGTATTTCTGAATATGCCATGCGTCCATGGGTACTTGTCTTGATGTTTCCAGCTATGGAGCTGTGGTTTTGGAGGAGAAAAAACCATGATAGCAGTCTTGATTCAGACAAGGCAAACCTCTTGAATTATGGAAGTTAGATTATTAGGGTAAAAAAACATGTAAATTCTCAAATCTTGTTAAATAGTGTTGAAATTCTGCTGTCGAGGCCGGCAGGTGTTGAAATTCTCAGACAAGACAAACATTTTTGGATTAGAATGTACATTCATAGTCAAAACATGTATCTAATTTTGTGTGAGATATCGTCATCTCATTAGCTGGAAAAAATTTCTAACTATAAAATGATAAGACTAAAATGGTTACATATAATAATTTAAGGATTTAGTTAACCAAAAAATAGTTTACGGGCACAGAATGAGGGTTTGTTTTTACTATAAGCCAATAATATATGAAAAAAAGGAATGGAAACTAAACAACATTTTAATTAACTCATAATATCCCTACGCCATTTAATGTAATACCACATTATCAACGAAAATAAAATCCACCCATTGTGCCACTTCTACCTTTGTTTGTTCAGCACCTCATTAATGTTAACTTTCAAATAAAATACCCAAACAAAAATGCAGTTTTCAAGGAAAAACAAGACCAGAAAGATGCCACCACGTTGGTAAAGGACCTATCTATGCCTCTGCAACTGGGTACTCGAACACAACATCCTTTCCGGCAAGCTTCCGATACACAACAGAAAAGGTCTCGAGCTTATACTCGGTGTTGTTCCGTTCCTTGGGGTCCAAGAGAACCTAATTGGAAAAATGAGTTAGGAAACAGGACAACAATTGAACCACACATACAGATACACAAGGATTTCATTCACTCGTCAAGATTAAAAGCCTAATAATCGTATGATGGCGCTTTGTACCTTCATTATCTTTGATCCATCAATTCTGTATCTAATGCGCTTCCCAACAATCTCAGCAGGTAAAACAATATCTTCAAGCATTGCTTCATGTACAGCAGTCAATGTGCGGCTGCGAGGCCTCTGGACAGCAGAACCCTTCTTTGGAGGCCTTAATATCCTCCGAGTGGCAATAAGAATCACATCCTATAATATATACAGCAACTAAGTTAAAACTAAAACATGTACATCATCATAAATACAAATTTTAAGTTGAACAACAAAATAAATCAAGATGTGTCAATTTATGACATACAACAGGATTTAATTCTCATGTTTCTAGATTAAAACAACATGTGTATCTGGAAAGAGCAATTCCACTGGTGATAGCATTTTATGCAAAGCAGGCAAATTAAAATTGTTTCAGAAATTTGCACTAAATGATTATGAGCTTGAAAGAAACTGTAAATTAAAAGACCTAACCCATGCTTCTTTCAAAGGAAAAACTTTGAAGGAAAATTTCTCACCTTGCCACTGAACTTCTTTTCAAGTTCCCTCATAAGCTTCACATGAACCTTGCGAAAAGCTTTCCTCAGTCGATAGGGAACATGAATAACAACAGCTTTCCGGCTCCCAGACACATCAATTTGGCTGCATGTGAACAGATTACACCAATCATATGAAAGACACATACATAACTCACTTTCAAAATAATGCATCTAGATATCTCATGCGTACATTGCCGAATTGATGTAGAGATCTTTGAGGTCACTTTTCAGATCCTGGTTGGTATTCTCCAAATCGACGAATGCCTGTTACAAACAAGCATACACGAATAAATCATTCCAACGATTGAACTTTTTCAGGAAACTTTCAAAGTGTAACAAACATTAGAACATTTTAAAACCTGGGCAACAGATTCCTCAAACTCTGTTGGCTCAACATCTTTATCCTTGTGGATCTTCTTCCTTGACGTATACATCTTCAAGATCTGCATCGTGTGAGTATTTATGGAAGACGTTGAAAAAAAATTCAAACAATATAACGTAAATAGAAATCAGATTGAACTTGAACCTCAAATGCTCAAGTTATTTCAGTCAGAAATATAAGCAGCTAAGCTCCAGCTTTTGATTCTATGGTTCAGTTTATGACCAAAATCATTACACCAAATTCAAATTCACTAACAGGTTAGATGCTTCATAACAGCATTTGTTTTCAAACTTTCCTACAAATATTTTCTTAGCAAACAAACGGGCACATGTAGCAAAAAGATTAACAGCCCTATCACTGTATAGATATAGGAGAAACCTTAACAGAAACGACGAAAATTCATTGACGAAATGAAAAGCTGTACCTGAAAGAGAAGCACGGGAGAGTACGAGAGGAGGCTCTCTTTGCCGGATATTGCAGATGGAGAAAAACCCTAGTTTCAAGAGAAGTTGACTATTTATATTGGGACCTTGAAGGCCACGATGGACGGCCTGATTAAGATTCAAGTTGGGCCGGCGTTTTGAACTATAATTTGCCAATGGGCCTCCTTTTGAATTTACGACGAAATCATGTAATCGGAGGATAATTAGAAAATTTAATTATAAATATATATAAAAATTAATAAAAATTATTTGTAACATAATATTTAAAATTATAAAAATATTAATTTGGATGGACTTAATATTAAATTTAAGCAAATTTTAGAATCGAAATCGAATTCGATCAGATTCATCTCTAAATGTAATCCCTGAACCCATTAAATTGACTAATTTTTTTACTATTTTACTTTCGTTTATTTGACATCAGATTAATCAATTTGTTTAAAATATTATAAATTTATATATTTTTTATATATTAACGATTTATTTTATTTATATGTTCACATATTTATATAATATAACCATGTCATAATTATAACCATCAATTTATATTATTTAATAATCTTAGTAGAAATTTTTATGGTTATGCTGTATAAATAGATCTAGATAAGGTATAGGGGACATGATAATGAAAGGCTAGGCCATAACAACAGTAGAAAAGGAAAAGGTTGGCATGCATGCAACTAGGTCAATCTTCACCCAATGAAAAAGCCAAAGCCAAATAGGTCGGCACATAAACGTCCAACACTGGTCGGACACGGCTTCCACACCCGTATAGGATTGTGTGAAAAATGATTTTATCATATAAGATATTTACCATATTATTTCTTAAATTAGAACTTCTTATTGGTCTGATGACGCCGTGCACTCCTGGGGACTTCTCTATTTGCCTGAAGACGTCATGTAGTCATGGGGCCTTTTTCATTTTCCTGAAGACGCCATGTAATCGTGGAGTCTTCATATTTAGCTTGAAGACGCGTGGAGCACCTGGTGTCTTTAGGTTGGTACTGTGCAATTCACCCTAGATAGGGAAATAATCCCGAGGTGGATTATATTGTGAATTTTTCCCCACATCATTTACTTGGCCATTTTGTTGGTCGGACACACACTCGGTTTAATTTCGCTTTTGTTTTAAATTTAAAATTCAATTCACTTATCCTCACTTCTATTGCATGCAGTGTGTTCATCTTCTTTAATATTTTTTAATTAATCTGAGGTAAGTATAAGACAATATATGTTTAAAGATAACTCTCAACTATTTGACATTGAACGATCACACTCCTGACATTCTTGATGCTCAAACCCGAGACTTTAAGGAATAACAACAATTCCTTTACTACTGAAATCATTCGATTCATAATCATCTTCTTTAATTTTAATCCTTGAGTTGTCTATTTGGAAACCATTCTCAACCAACATTATTTTAGTATGAAAAACCTAACATTTAAATATTAAATTTTAAATATATTTAACGTTATACTATTATATATATTGTACTGATAACAATATCAATCAAATTAAATTTACTTTTTGTATCAATAAGTATTTGCCACAACTGTCTTTTGAGCAGCTCGGGATCATATTTTGACTTAAAGTGAATAATTTTATCTTTTTAGAGTTGCTATAAACATTTTGGATTAAGGTTGAATACTTGAATTTTATCTTTTACTAGATTTACGTCTTTGGGCGACTCTCTCTTTTCCCCCTTTTTTGTCTTTTTTCTCTCTCTCTCTCTCTTCTCAATGAGACGGAGAATGTCTCTATTTATAGTTAAACCTCCTTACATCTAATGGTCTATATTATTTACATCGACTTTCTAGATTAAAAGCATATCTACCCAATCTCATTATTTAAGAAAATTAAATCAATTATATCAATATATTTCATAGGTAGGAGATTACATGATATGTAAAAAGAAATCAAACGGGAATATTCTGATTAGTATTATACACATTATCTTACCATTTGAATAAAATTTATCGGATGAAAATAGGTGTTTACATTATTTATTCATTAAATGACTCAAATATAGTAATAATCTCTATATTAAATTGTTAAAAACTCTTAGTTGATATCTCTCGTCTCCCCTGGATTATGAGTTCAATACCTATTATGAATAAAATTCTCATACCCCTATATAGAAATTGTTAAAAAAATCAAATATGAGACATGTTATTATCTGATTCGACTAATTTGGTTAAAAATAATATATATATATATATATATATATATAATATTAATTATTTAATAATTTCAGTTAATTCGATTAATTAACTTATTTCGAACCAAATTAATCGATAACTAAACTTTTAAAAAATTATTAACTGTTAATCGATCGATTAACCAAATTTTTTAAATTCAATCAGTTAATTCGTAACAGGTTTGAATAAACTATATACTAGGGCCAGTCATGTCAGTAACATCAAATAAAGAAATATCAACTAATGGAATTTATATTTATCATGGTACATAGAAAATGAAGGGCAATCCCACGTCTTGGTTGCATTGTATTGTTGATTTCAATTAAATCTTATATTTTATCGAAATATTAATATAAAAGTAAATTATAAGTTTTTTCCTTATTCCCATTTTAATCACTAAAGTTTAACTTTTTTTCATTTTAATCACTAAACTTTCGAATTGCTCATGTTTTGATCACTCTACCGTAATTAATTAACAATATCATGACTTGACAGACGAAACCCAAGCTATGTCATTTTGGATCCATATAAAACTCAATTTTTCCTTTTTCTTTATTTTTCATATTTTTTCTTCTATTATCATATTCTCATTTTCTCTCAATCTACCCAGATTTTGACTATCGCTTGTTGTGACCGGTCACTATGTAATGGAAACCAACGAGTCCAAAATTTCTCACCAAACTCATTTCACTATCTTGAACTTGAATTCAATATTTGTTTAACCGGAAAACACCCGAAACTCTAGGATTCTAACATTTATGTTTCCTTTCTCTTACGAAACCACTATTTTTAACGGCATTTGATAGTCAAACCATACACCAAGAGCTTCCTCTTTCCGTCCTCTTTCCTTTTATAAATTATATTTCACCAAAAATCTCTTAAAAGTTGTAAAATCTCACTTGAAATTTTGTCTTTTTTTTTATCTCCATTCCATTATTTCAATTGTCATCGTGGCATGCCTGAGATATGTCATTCTCCATATCAAGTAAGACTCTCTTATCTTTAGGTTTGGAGAAACAATACTTCGATCACTAGCAACGGGGAAACCCAAAACTTTTTCTTTTTTGTACATAATGCTAAAAAAATACCCCTAATATTTGACTAAATTGTCATTTTGACACATATTTTTTAGTATTTTAGCACACAACGTTTTATTTTAGGGAAAAAACGTTTCATTTTTTAATATTTGACTAAAAAAATACCCCTAAATCTCAAGTTAGTACTTTCTAGCTAACTCGAGAAGGTTTACATAAGCCCACTAGCCTTGTAAGAAAGCTTGGATAATTTGAGAATGGGATTGATCCCAAATAGTAGTAAAATGGGCATTTTTAATATTGTAGTGAAAGAGGAAAGACTAAGGGGCAATTATGCAATTTTTCAAGCAAAGGCTAAAATTCTTTAATGGTGATGATGTAATTGGCTAAACCACTCACCCGTTTTTTTCTCTTATTTTCCTCATCTTTTGTCTCCTACCTCCTACCTCCTACCTCATTCTCTCAATCTCCATCTTTTTCTCTTATTCAAGTATAATTAGCAAATGTAAGAACTTTATAACTCTACAAGCCTAGTACGAAAATACCAAGGTGAGAATCATAATCTCCTTACCCTAATCTTTCATTCAAGATCTCAAACTCAAGGTTTAGCCATGATGGCAATAGATACGGGTTTTTAGTGGGGGTTTAGGAAACTAAAAGTTTCTAGCTCGTTTTTGGTGAATTTGAGCTTAGAAAAGTGTTATTGTCTTCATTTTAGTTTCTTAAATGAGTTAATGACTCATTTTCATTGTCTATGATTAGTGAAAGAGGGTAGAGAAAGCTCCAAGGCAATAGACAAAAAGAAGTTCGCCCTTAGTTGAGGGATGATATGTTTTAGCAACTTAGTAGCAAGATAACACATTTCTAACCTCTCTATACCACTTGTGGGTCACTAAGTGTTATTGGTTAGCTTGTATTAGTTTATGAAGCATATCAGAATGTTCATGGTAGATTTTAGTTTATGATGTTATAGAACTTGAAAAATAACTCTTTATGACCCCAAGATGTTTTTGGCTGAGAGTATCGATACCAGTCCATCATGTATTGGTATTGTTCCAAGGGTATCGATACTTAAAGTTGGGGTATCGATACCACTTCAGGACTTCAAATTTCAGTAGCCTATTTTGGTATCGGTACTCAAGGAGGTACGATACCACATAGAGAGTATCGATACCATAAGAAAGGGTATCAATAATGAGCTAATTTTTCAAACATCAAAACAAATTTTGGTAACGATACCTTGGATGATATTGATACCCCAGAACTATAGTACCAATACTCCAACAATAGTATCGATACTTTTATGAATTCTCGAATTCTAATAGCCTATTTTGATATCAGTACCATAGGTTAGTACCAATACTTAAGGGTCAATATTGATACTGAAAGACTCAGTATCAATACCTCATCTTGAATTCAACGAGAAACCTTTTCGACTCAAGTGTTCGGGGAAGGGTATAGGGTCATCAGAACTTCATTAATAAGACTACAAGTGAGAACAACAATAATGAATACAATTACAACTAGAAACGATTAAGTTAAGATGACATACAATTAACCATTGTGTGACGATCGGGAAACGACCAGGAAACTCGAGTTACTTTAGCAGTATGATGATGAACTTATATGTTTAGAATGTTTGAACATTTATTAATTAGTGCACAAATCACTTCAGTAGCTGACCAGTCACAAATGCCCCAAGTACTCGTAAGGAGTAGATCGGCCGAGTGAATGTTTCCGATCTAGAAATTCCATATCTGAGCCGAGTTATGTTAGAAGGGTGTGTGTCCCGAGATACAGCGAAACCCTCCGACCATACCATGATGCCTACCTAAACATGTGTGTTCAACATACTTGTATGTTTATGACCTTATTTGTTAGCATGACCATGTAGTGAACGCATGTAGTATAGTTTAGTTATTAGTGTGACACTGAGCTTGTGAGCTCAACGTTCGAAATTTGTTTCTGTATGCAGGTTCATAGGAGGAGCGTTTGAGGAGCTTAGCACACAGTCTACATTCCAAACAAATACGAGCTTCAGAGTACTTCTTAAGTATTTTCTTAGAGGAAATGTATTGTAGCGCCTCAGATTCCGTGTTAGTAGTTCGGGTAAACCCGAGATCCATAAAATAATCCAAATGACTAATTGGAACAACTTGGACTTATTTAAGTATAGAATGGGCTTGAATTAGGTGCAAGTCTAGTGGCGATTTAAGTTGAAACTAGAAGCAAAAGGACTAAAAGTGTAATTTACCCCTTGTTTGTTTTGAAAGATGAAAACTCCTTCCCTATTATATGATTTCACGTAACCACTCCCCTTACATTTCCACCAAACACTCTTCTTCTTCCTTCTTTTGTCTCTTCTTATTTCAGTATAAAGTTAAGATTGTGAGGGTTTCAAGTGTAAGTTTGGTTAACCAAGATAAGATTATTAATCTCCACCCTTCTAGCTTTAATTCAAGTTTCATTTCTCAAGTTTTCCAAAAAAGGGTTTTTGAGAGGTTCAAGAGAATAGATGGATTTGGCTTGTTCTAGTGGATTCAAGTTATAAGAAACATTTTTAGTATTAATTCAACCACTTAGTTGAGTTAGTAACACCTTTTCTTACCTTTGATTAGTGAAAGAAGTGGGAGAAAGCTCAAGAGCAAGGGGAAATGAGAAAGTTGCCTCTTAAGTGATTTGAGGGCGTTTTTATCAACCAAGAATCAAGGTAAAACATTTAGAACTCCTTCATATCACTTGTTAGTCATTAGAAATACATTCTATCTTAAAAGATTAAGTTAAACCATGTTGAGCAATGCCATGGTAAATCTTACATTTCAGTGTTATAGTATGTTATGGGGTCTTTCGTGTGGCTAGTTAGGTGTTTTCATACCAAAATAGAGCACTTTGTAGCAATGGTATCGATACTATAAAAATAGTATCAATATTGTTCATCACTCAGCCATAAAACTAGGCAATTTTCAAAGGGTAGTATCAATACTCATTCACGAAGTATCGATACCGGGGCCTCGATTTTTGATACTGACCAGACTAATATCGAGACCAATAGTACCAATACTCACATAAAGTATCGATACCAAGGAATGGGTATCGATATTGAAAGGGTAATATCAATACCAGGGTATTTTTCAGAAATATCGAACCTAAATTTGGTATCGATACTTAGACCATTATCGATACCCCAGAGCCAGAGTATCGATACTCAGCCATGAGTATTGATATTATCTTACCCAAATAGCTTATATCATTCTTGGGGGTATCGATTCCAGCAAGTGGGTATCGATACCAAAAGGTTTAGTATCGATATTGAAGAGTCAGTATTGATACCCATGGACATTTTTGGATATTAATCCAAAGTTTAAGGGATCAGATTTGAGGTACCCCACATAATCAAAATAATAAAGAATAAGACTCGAAGTGATAATAATAGTTTATATTAGAATGATAGCAACAATAACTGCTAGAATTATATAAAAACAACATTGTTTGTACGCTCGAGAAACGATCAGGAGACCTAGGTGACTTTAGAAATGATACTATTATCGATTAATAGAATCAGTTCAGATATCCTTAGGTACTGCACGAGAAATTTTAAACTGCCTAACTAGGTCCGAGACCCAACACTCGCGAGGGTGGGTTAGTCGAGTATGTTGTGTCCTATGTAGAGATTCTGATCCTCATCCTCAGTATACTAGAGGGGTACTTGAGCTCCGAGATGTGGAACTCTCACCCGCAACATGATGTCTACCTTAGAGTAGAGAGTGTTGTATACGAGTATACTTACTGTTGCATTTTATTTTAGTAGTAAGCTTGAGAATCTATTGAACACTCTTAGTATGAATCAGTTGTTAGTGTGGCACTGGGCTAGTTAGCTCAGTGTTTGGAATTTGTTTCCTTATGCAGGCTAGTAGAGAAACAATTGAGGAGCTTTTTGTTCAATTGAGGTCCATATCGGGATCAGTGCAGGGTATGTCTCAAGATTATCTTTTAGAGGGCATGTATAGTTGTAGACCTCTATTTTTGTATCATTGAGTCATAACTTCATTTTCAAGTATGGTATGTATATTTCGATATAGTTATTTTTGGGAGCTTCTGATGTAAACTTATTTATATTTTATGGATGTATTGTCTTGGTTCAAATGATTTGAAATGGTCGTTTATAAAGAAAGTAAAGAAAAATTTGGTTAGCCACTACGGTGGTTTTGTGTGACATTCTAATGGGTCGACTATGTGTCGTACTCGTTTAGGATGTTACATGTAATATTTACAGACCTCCATGTATTCAAGTCGTAGCTCTGTTTTGAAATACTTGTTTTGGAACATTTGGGATGTATTTTGGGAGCTCCCCATATATTTGTAATCTTGAACGCTATGTTTTTATTTTATGACTTTAATGGATAGTTTTCATATGATATTTTACCAGCATTTTAAAGAAAGGTCCCATGTAATGCTTTAATCCCAGATCTCCAAGTTGTATCGAATTAGGACGTTACAGTTCCTATTTTGGAGGATTAATCTTTTTTACTAATGATTTCTATTCACATAGAGGCCTTCTCCCCTCCAAATGAAACTTGGGGGGGAATGCTTCAAAAAAAAAAATGAGACTAAGTAACTATTTAGTTAAGCATTAGGGTTATGATTTTAAAATAACTATCCACTCCTTATTTACAAAGAGGAATAGTATGAAGATTCACCTAAAAAATGAGATTGAAAAATATTATTTGTTGAGACCATAGATGACTTATTGAGTTAGGTCTATTTAATAATTTTTCCTCGACCGACCTATGAGCAAAACAACATAAGCATAAACTGCCACGTGTCCACTCAGTTTCATTATTTAGAAAAATGTATAAGAGATGTAAAAAAATTAGAAAAAGATTTTTTTACATGCTTATCGAACAGTATATTGATCCCACTCTATAAATATACTCAAACCCCATTTTCTGATTATCCAAACACCCATCTGAAAGGGGGGAAACCTCAAAAATCCATATGGCTGATTTCACATCAGATTTGCAGAACTTTAAACAATCATTTTCTTTCTTGGATATTGATCCTACGGCCATGGAGTCATCACTTGCTGGTGTGCTAAACCAAAGCGTCATAGACGATTCATCTGCCTTGAATTTCCAAAGCTTCTTCCCCTTCTCCAACCAAAGCTTCTTCAACAACCAAGGTGCTGAAATTCTGGGAAACTGCCGAGAAAATCTGCCTGGTTTTTTCCATGATACCAATCAGGGTTTAGCTGCAGCACTATCAGTTTCTCAGTCACCCATTGCCACTGCTAAAAGAGAATTCCTCCAGGAAAACAACAAGAGGAAATCGTTGGATGTCTCGGAAAGTAGTTCTGGCAATTCATCGTCTCCACAAGCTTTTGAAAGCCGGATCAAGAGAAGAAATGTAACCATACATCCTACATATAAATATAGGGTAAACTATATGTTTAGTATCAAGTATCAACTATCACTTTTGCTCCGTTTTAAACTTTATTTATCCAAGTATTTTTTACATTATCTCATGATAACATATTAGTATCATCGTTAATTTTTTAACGGTGGATGACAAAAATGAAATTAAAACTAAACATTTTGAAAAAAAAATACTTAAGTGACCCAAACAGAACAAAAATGATACTTGGGTACTAAACTTGTAGTTTACCCATAAATTATATAAATTATTGTTTTTTCCCCTCCATTTTTTATTTGGGTTTTGTTTTGTCATGCAGAATACCGGTAGAGGGAAAAGAGCAAAAAACAACAATGAAAAGGAAGAAAAGAAACCAAAAGATGTTGCCCATGTGAGAGCCAGAAGAGGTGAAGCTACTGATAGTCATAGTTTAGCTGAAAGGGTAAATTTTCTTCAACTTTTTTTTTAAAAAAACATTTAAGTTTGATTGATTTAATCATTCCAACCAACTGAAAGGGATGTTTTCTTTTGTTTTTATCAATCAGGTTAGAAGAGGGAAAATCAATGAGAGACTAAGATGCTTGCAAGATATTGTCCCTGGATGCTACAAGGTAAATTCACGTGTAGATGAATTAAAAGTAGTAACACTTGAAATTTTCTAACGTGTTTGATTATTTGCAGACCATGGGCATGTCAGTCATGTTAGATGAGATCATCAAGTATGTGCAGTCCTTGCAGAATCAAGTTGAGGTAATTACAATGATTATGTATGTATGCATGCATGTATGTGTACATACAGTTGTAACATAAATTCAGTGACCTAATTACTGTTTTTGAAATGTTTACAGTTTCTTTCACTGAAGCTGACAGCAGCAAGCACTTATTACAACTTCAACTCAGACTCAGATGCCATGGAAAGATTGCAGGTATAGCTAAAAAGTATGTATATAGTTTTTTTTTGGCATAATCATTTTGGACTCTATTCTTTTTTGGAGCATTTTGGTCCTCAATGTTTCATTTTAGAGTAAAAAGATCCCTATTTTAGAACATTGATAATTTGTTAACTAACAATTTTTATATAAGGAGGGGTCTTTTTGTCTCAAAATGAGACGTTAGAAGTCAAAATGCTCAAAAAAAAAAGAATAAGATCCAAAGAGACTATTTAATCAAGTGTTAGAGATATTTTTTTTATCATTATACTTATTTTTTATATTCCTTGTATTTATGGAAAATTTAATATCTCGGTGTATTGGTTGAATGAATGACAATTTTCAGAGGGAAAGAGTTCATATGATGAGAGAAGGAGATGTTGGAGGGGTAGGATGCTTGTACTCATCATCATCAACATGGTCCTCTTTCACTTAATTTGCCATGCAAATCATGAAATTCCAGCTTAGCTAGAATATGTGAAAGAAAAATTATACTTGTAATATTGCACAGAATATTTCAGAAGAATCATATGTTATTACACATAATGTAATATGTGAATTTCGGTCTTTTTACTTGTCGTTTTCATTTGATTTAAGGTCACAGCCATGCCATGCAACAAAACCTTAGTGGACATGACTAGACTTGGATGGTTTGTAATTAGGGTAAAGGATGATCAAAAAGAACCAAAAAGACATTTGAACTTTTGGCACATTAAGCTTAACAAAAGCAAGTACTTATGTTGAGTAATCTTAATCAGTTCCTTTCTCAACAGACTTCACTTACGTTTTAGACATTAGTTAATGACAAAATTAGGGGGAATCCATCGTTTGATTGTTTAAGAAAACCCCGACAAATCGGTGTGAGTTTAGGTATTTTATCTGATCAATTCAACTTATATATTTTTTTGAATAGTTTGATATGATCAAAAGATAATATCTGTTTAAAATATTTTTTTAATCATTATCAACATACACATAACCTGCAGACGTAACTGATCGAACTCTAAACCTCAAGGAATAACAACAACTTGCAGACGTATCTGTTTAAAATATTTTTTAATCATTATCAACATACACATAACCTGCAGATGTAACTGATCGAACTCTAAACCTCAAGGAATAATAACAACTTACAGACGTAACTGTTTAATTTAAACGATAGTTGAATAGTAAATAATTTTGAACATTGAATGGATAGACTTAAGTATGGGTAAAATGTTGGCACCAAAAGATAAAAGTACTATTTTAGTCTTTGAAAATTCAAAAACACCACACTTTGTAGACATATTTAGAGGAAACAACGGAAGAAAACATGACATATTGTTTGTCTTTTACTCTTAGTGATGGAATTTCATCTCAACTAGTTCATTCATACCTATACCTAAAGTCCTCCTCAAACTACCTTTTGATTTATAATCCAAAGTACATCTATTTATACGCAGAATTGTAAATATTAGAGTTAATTTCATTATATGTCCCCAAACTATAACTCTCAATTTAAATTGGTCTTTTAAACTTTTGAATATTCTAACACCATCCTCAAACTATGGCTATCACTCTAAACCAGTCCTTAAATTGTTGAACATTACTCTTTCTAATTTGGTCCACAAACTTTCTAATATTCTAATTTCATCCCCAAATTCATGTAAATAATTTCAACCATAATTCAAGTTGAATTTGTTTTTTTTTCAACCATATACTAATCTAACTTGGTCTAACGATTTTATTAACAACAGATGTGATTAGTTTATAAATATTTTGAGATGAATTTGGAATGTTCAAAAAGTTTGGGGACCAATTAGAATGAAGAACATAGTTTGGGGATAAAATTGAAATGTTCAAAAATTTAAGGACTAATTTAAAATGATAGTTATAGTTTAGAGATAAAATTAAAACATTTAAAAGTTTAGATACCCATTTGAAATTAAGGTCATACTTTTTGAGGACGTGTGATGCAATTAATTCCAAACATTATTATCATCAAGGAAAATTAAATTGTTCTCTATTAATAGAATTCAAATAGCGATGCAATGTGTTGAGTCGGATCAAATTTTTAGTCAATTTGACCTGTATATCATTTTCACTTGAATCCAATCTGATCCGAGATAAGTATACCCCTTCCACTCGAATTTGACTCGATTGGAGTTTAATGAAGTCTAATTCGATCCAAATTTTAGGACAAAAACCCATATATGACCCAAATTGGCACAATATATATATGTTAAAAATTCTTATTTTTTTAGGTAAAATAGACACCTAATTGAAAGAAGAAGAAAAATCATAGAGAGACTAGTATCATAACAATTATCCTTAAAAATAGAAGAAAAGTATAATATTATTCTAGGTCCGGTTGGATCAGAGATTTTTCTAAACCCGATCCGACCTCACTTTTCCTGAACCAATCCGATCCAAATTAATTTTATTTTATTTTTAAAAAATATAGTTCTATCATGACTCAAAATTTGTCAAATCCTTATTAAATTATTATCCCTAGATTGGAAACCATGTCCTAAGGTGTATAGAACATTTTTATGGATGTATGGTACCACTTGAGCATAAAACACCGCAGAAACACAATACTGAAACTATTAAGAATTTTATCGACCATTCAATTAACAATATTTCAAAAACTTCTCTCGTACATATTAAATTTTAATGTATTAAATAATTCTATTAAGTTTATTTATGTGAGACCCGTCAGAAAATACTGGAAACAAATTGTGTACCAGCTATAGGTAAATGACCAAATTGTTATCACTGTGGATCATCCATGGCATATAAAACCAAAAACACAACAAACAATCAGGAATAAGTTGTTATAAAAATCCTACTTGTCGGTAAGAAATCAGAATGTCCTAATTCTTTCGGGCACCAACGTTTTAGAGGGTATGTCCCATAAAACAATAAGATCACGATGCAATGAAACCACAGCCAATTTCACAAATCTGTCCCAAAAGATGTGGAGGTCTGTGTTATTTTCTTAAAATAGGATTTTAAAATATTTTATAATAAAACGAAATTATAAAATATCACAATTTATTTATTGTGACGTTTTATCTAAAATGTAGAGCTTCCAAATTTTAGAATCATATGATGTAACACATCTCACGCTTACCAATGAACGGGCATGTAATTTCGTTAATACACATTGTAGGTAAAAAAATGAACCCTAAACTCACAAGATACAAGAATACAAAAACCTAAAATATTATATTTAAGATAATTATTGAATAGTATGAATTAACTTACCTTTGTGATTAAAGAAATCGTTGTTATTCCTAGATATTATGAGTTCGAGCATAAATGGCTGTAACATGGTGATAACGGTCATTATCAAATGGTGAGAATATTTAGAACATATACCACTTTATAATCACCTTAGTTTAATAAAAAATAATTATTTAATATATATATATATATATATATATAATTTTTGATTTTATAAAACGGGGTTAATAAATTGTCTCATGCCTTGCTTGTTTAATTTTTAAATATCAAGCAAGAAAACGTAAGATTCTATCGATGTATATAATAAATATATAAACTATTTATATGTTTATCTGAAAAAATTTAATAAGTGTTTTTAATGAGATTTATATACTTTTAATACAATACATATCTGAAAATCTAATGGACGTTTGACAACTCATTAAGTGAATGATTGGAGGATAGAAGTTGATAGGGAAGGAAACAAATTTTAAATTTTATTTTATTTTTTTATTTAGAGTTAATTGCATCGTACGTTGCTAAACTATAATATTCATTTCAAATTAATTCTTAAACTTTTAAATATTTTAATTTCATTTCCAAACTATGAATCTCATTCTAAATTAGTCCTTAAACCTATGAACATTTTAATTTCATCCCTAAACTCATCCAAATATACAATTACTTTCAACCATAATTTAACCTAATTTTTTTTTAAATATAATAAAATAACTTGGCCTAATGATTTTATTAACAAGGGATGTGATTAGTAAATACATATAGTTTGAGATGAAATTGGAATGTTCAAAGAGTTTGGGGAGCAATTTAGAATGAAGGTCAAAGTTTAGGGATGAAATTAAAATATTCAAAATTGTGAGGACTAATTTAGAATGATAGTCATAGTTTAAGGATGAAATATTTAAAAGTTAAGGCACCGACTTAAAATGAGGGTCATACTTTGAGGACATGGATGGAATTAACTCTTTTATTTATAGTTATGTTTTGTTTTGTATAGTGAGAAATAAATAAAATAGAATTTATTTTATTTATAGTTATATTTTGTTTTTCGTATATTGAGAAATAAAAAAGAGAGAAAGGGGGCAACAGCATGGAGGATGACAGCTTGAAATGGGGCAGGCCATGCCCTACAAGATGATGGGGCAATATCTTTCTTCTTTGACCCCCTTCTCACTTAGTCCTTGGCTTGTATCTAGGAGCAAGCATGAATTAGTTCGATGACATAATGTTTTTAGTATTGGCTTGATGACACAATATAAACAGAGATCCGATTCACAAAATACAGTTCAAATAGTTATGAGATCAGATTTTATCACATCCTAATCAACATATTAACGTTCAACGTAGACGACTATAATTTTTAACAGAAAATGACAAGTTTAGAACTTATGAATAGTTATGTAATCATTTTGTAACTTTTAATAGTTGATGTACTAAAAAAAGCAACATCTTATAGTTAGGGAATCATTTAGGTACTTTACCCTAAAATGTATGAATATATACAAATACATGGACTAAAAAAGAAAGACTTTGGATTTGAGGGTCCCATGAACGGATAGGTTTCATGTATTGCCCTCAAGACTTGGGGTCACATATTAGGTGAAGTTGATAAGCAAATGGAGGGCAAGTTCAAGGATCCAAGTATGGTGGGCTCAATACAGATGTATATAAGAAATGGATGAGGTGGAGAACGTTGTTAGCTGGTCATGATTCTTACCAATTCCCCACTACTTTTTTTTCTTTTTCTAAAATGGCATTGAAATCTTCTTGAATAATGCTTTTCAAATCTTTCTTTCCCTCACTCAAATACTAAAGCTTCAAACCGAAAGGTTGATCTCAAAGTGGTTTTCCATGTCACCTAAACATTGAATCAATTTTTTGAGGAAAAGGGGTGGGGTGGGGATTACAACGGGTCGGTTTGGGTCAGTTTTTGATCAATCTGATATGAAAATATGTATCCTTCACCCGAACCTGACTTGACCCGAAAATTATATATCCTCTACTTGACCTGATCCAACCAAAAATTATATTGAATACTATCATTACAAATTACTATTATTTTATGGTTAACAAATTATAAGATATTACAATCTTTATAATGCCATTTTTCAATAAAATATTTAATATGATTGCTAAAGAAGTTTCTATCAACTAATATTGCAACGTGAAAATGGTGATTTTTACGTTGAAGGTAAAGCAAAATGGATGGAGAAGTTTAAAATTAAAATGTTCATGAATTGACAGTCCCACCTTATTCACTTAGGATCTTATCCCATCCGATCTGATCATCATAGTTTTAGTGGTTTGTCGATGCCACGTTTTCAAATTTGGTTCCATTTCAGATGGTAGTTTGATTGTCATTTATTGTTGCCCAAATGCCATGTGCCCATATTTTAG